TTAAACTCATTTACTCTTGATCTGCGAAGCGCGTGATGATGCTCTTTAGTGAGCTAAACATATCTTCACGGGCCATTGTTCCGAGTTGTCGTTAGCTAGTTTCCTAAAGACTAGATTGTCGTGTCCTAATCGCTGTCTTTAGGAAAAATACATTCCAAACAATCCAATCCAAACATATAAATTCAAAATAAGTTTGGCAGAGATTTGTTGTGAAATATAATATTAATTTAACAATACAGAATAACCTAAAATTTTTGAGACAATGAATATTTATAGAACAAATTTGTTTTGTCATTCAACCTAAAAGTTTATAAAAAAAGAAAAAAAACAATCCAAGATCCTCTTAAAATTTATTATGTACGTGCAGGGATCGCAGCAATAATCGGGAGGATATTTCCAAATTATTTTTTTTTCTAGTTAGGAAAAGGTTTTTTAGAACTCGGAAATTTTTTTTTCTGCATAAGCCAAAAATTTACAAAAATATCAAAACAAGTAAATAATAATTTTATTTAACTAATGTTACTGTTGAATTTTAATTTAGATTTATTTGTGATATTTTGAGTTTCAGATATATAATTAAAAAAAACAATAAAGAACGAGGAAAATGTCAATCCAAAAAACTATGAGTGCCCCAAGAATAAATCAACAATTTAGTGTTTTGGGTAATTTTTGGAAACTGAGGCGGTGACTTAGGAAGAACTATTATAAGAAGCACTTTCTTTTTTTTTTTCTTTATTTGTATAACTTTAAAATCATCAGCAAAAACCTTTATTGTACATTCGATTTCCTTTATTACAGTTTTTTTTTTATTATTATATATTTCGTTATCTTCATAATAAATTATTTGTAATATTTTTAGTTAAGTCGTGACGGGAGCAGGCAGACAAAAGTCTTACCATCCAGCTTAACAATAATAGCATATAGTTACATATTTTGTCAAGCAAATTGCAAAATAGGTTTATGAATGCCAAATGATTAATTTACAGCATTTTCATTTTCACTATTTATTTTAAAAAATAATATTTTTTAACTACATTTTTTTATTTCAAATAGTATACTTTTGCATGTACTGTATCTAATAAACAAAATAGGTTAAATATTTTTGCCACAAGTATATATCTTTATAACTTACTGCATGTTTTTAAAATAAATTAATGGTGAAATGTTATGGTAATTCTATTTTTATTCAGTTAATAAACATAGCTCTGAGCTTTTACAACAATGAATCAGTTCTTATAGCTATGATAATTTCTTTGCTGAACAAACTCTGACTCCATTTTTTCTAACTTATACTTTATCGTTTGATTTTTTGAAGGGTAAAAATAATATATTCATTATTATTATATATTACAGGTTATATATTACAGAGTGCGGGAAAAGTTCAGAAACTTTTTAATAAAGGATTGTATTACAATTTTATTAGTCAAAAAAAATATAATAACCTAAGAACATCAAAAAATGTATACAATTTTAATTACAAAAGTTCATTTTCAAAAATTCCTCTTTTTTTTTTTTTTTATCATCTTCGCTTCTAACAAGGCTGCAAGCAACCACTAATTAGTGTTGGAAGTTACTGGAAGAGAAAAGATGAAGGTTGTAGAGCAAGATAACGATTGACAGATGATTTAAAAGATTGCAAATTATATGAATCAGGAAAGCAAGATAAAGGAAACGAATTCCAAAGAACTGATGTTCGAGGAAAAAAACTAGACAAATAAGAGTTTTTGGAGCACTTAGGAACAGTTACAGAAAAAGGATGAGACTTAATTGAATGACGAGTAACACAAGAATGAATTTTAAGTAGATGACACAAGAGACGCTAGGTCTTTAGAGCAGTGCCCATTATAGTATTTGTAGAAAAGAGAAAGAGATGCAACATTACGACGATGTGATAGAGGTTGAAGGTTGGCTGCAAGAGCAGGTCCAACTATGTTTACAATGTTTACAATGTTTACAATGCTTACAATGTTTACAACTATGTTTACAATGTTTACAACTATGTTTGCTCTGATACAAACTCAAAGACACCGTGGGAACTGATCAATTGCAGCGCGCACCATTTTTTCGTCGATTTTGCTCCACGCTTTCACCAAATCACAGTTCAACGACTCCACCGACTTTTGTGGTTTAGAACAAACCTTTGCCTCTAGAATCCCCCAGATGGCGTAGTCGAGTGGGTTCAAGTCGGGCGAATACGTCGTCGTCATTGAGGTAACCAAAATGCCGCAAAAATGATTTTACAAAATTCTTGCGTCGTTCTTGCTTAATGTGGTGGTGCAGAATCTTGTTGAAAGATCCAATATTGGTTCGGATAAGTTTTTTGGGTCCTAGGCAACACTACGGCTTGAAGAATGTTGATGACATAGTTGTTGGCGTTGATTTTGATTCCATTTTTGACAAAAATAAGCTCTGTTTTGCCCAAAAATGACACTCCGGCCAAAACCATCACTCCAGCTGGCTTCTGGGTGCGTGGAACAATGCGACCTTTTTTGTTAGCCTCAGAAGACCCTGAAGCAAGTACACGATCATTTTGGACATTGTGGGCTTGCTCAATGCTGAAGAATTTTTCGTCTGAAAAAAGAACTTTTCGTTGAAATTGAGCACCACCTTCCCGTAACAACTTTAAACATCTTTGTTTTCTTGTTTTGCATTTTTTGTCATTTAGATGCTGGGCTTTTTGAAGCTTAAACGACTTGAGTTTAAGTTCTTTTTTGACAATATGATGGACACTGTGCTCATCAATGCCACTTTCTCTGGCCATTTGTCTCATTGAACGGCGGAAATTTTCGAAATTTCGGAAAAGGACTTATTGGGGCACCTAAATAACAAAAGAAAAAAAAATTTAAGAACGTTTAATACATCATTCAAGAGAGAATTTAATAACAAATTCACAATATAAAAATATTTATAAAACATTTTTTTACTCAATATAAATTTTAAGGCAAAAAAACTTTTCCCGCACCCTGTATAATAATATAAGAAAAATACGTTTATTATTTAGCCAATTACAAGTATGATGGAGATCTGAATTAAATTATTTACAGATATGTAAGAGTAATGTGAGCGAGAGTGATGTGAGTGAGAGTGATGTGAGTGAAAGTGATGTGATTAAGTGATGTGAGTAAGAGTGATGTGAGTGAAAGTGATGTGATTAAGTGGTGTTAGTGAGAGTGAATAATAGGAGCAAGTGTTGTTACAAAATGATGAGCAATAAGCAATTTTTATAAAGTGAAATAAAGTTTTAATATTAATAAAAACAGCAAAAATTGAAGAATAAAACCTTGTGGAACAATTGACGCCTTTACTTGTGGGTTAAAATCCATTAATCAATTAAACAAATTAAACAAGTTTTTTTTAACGAAATTAAAGTTATTTGTTATATAAACACTTAGAATTAAAAAATGGTAGATACGAGAATGTATTAACTTTTCATGAATTTGGCTAATATTTGATAAAAGATAAGTTAGACAAGAAATTTATAAATAGAGGTTGGAATGCTGTTTGGACTGGAAGTCTACCGATTTTATTGAAAAAGACTTAATGATGGTACTTTATTTTATTCAGAACCTTTAACAAGTGTTAAATTAAGATTTCGTATTTTTAAATATTTATTTAAATCATTTTGGAAATAATATTTCTTGCAATACTGCTTGTAATTAAAAGAAGAACGAATTGAAACAACCAAGTTCAATAAACTTATCATTCACTAATACTCGTGGTCTTTAAAGTAAATTTTTTTCTGTTAAGTCTTATTTCATACAAAGTTCACCAGAACTACTTGCTCTTTGTGAGAGTTGAGTTCAGCTGTTTCATCTTGTGATCTTAATGTCGATGGTTATTTTCGATTAACTCGTAAAGGCTCCAATAGTCACATACTTGGCCTGTTCATTTACATTCGTAAAAATCACCCATTTTTCGGAAAAATATGTTTAATTCCGCAGACTAATCTTTTAAGTGCTTTCGTTTAGCACCACTTCACTCTATCGCCTTTCTTTTTATTCTATATCGCTCTCACATCAAAGATGGCATTTTTTGCCTAGGATTCTATATTTATTCTTGTCTTGATAAGAAACCAACACTCACTGTTGCTTGAAGGGGGCTTGAAAAGGATCTCATTTTTGTTACAGTATATTCTGCTACAGCACATGGGTCTCTCAGTGGCTGGTGAACTTTAACTCAGATTAAACTCATTTTTTTTTTCAGCTTATTGTTATTGCAATAATCTAGATTTTTCATATTTATATTTACCCTTCGTCTTCTAGGAATTACTCTTACTTCCGATTTTTCTTAAAAATCATATATCAAATCTATTGCAAAATTAGTATCTGCTAAGGTTGCATTTCTTTATCGAGCTCGCCATTTCCTCACTCGGTTCTATTCTTTATCTCTATAAATTTCAAATCCGTTTTTGTATGGAGCACTGTTGCATATTTGGAGCAGATCATCAAATGATGCCCTTTCTTTTATAGATAAGGTATAAAAACTCATTGTAAACATAGTTGGAACTATGAAGATTTTTATATATATATATATATATATATATATATATATATATATATATATATATATATAAATAACATTTATATGTATATAAATATCTTCAGGGGTGTTCAAAAAAAAAATTTCAAAACGCAAATATACAAGAAGCCAAATATAAGGCAAATATAAAAAAAATACGATAACAAAAAAAAAAATTGTAATCGTATTTGTTATATAAAAAATATTGAAATTTACCTTGTGCTCAAGCGGCAAAATTTTTTTTCTAATGTGATCGTAATGGTCTAAATTTTTTTTGAGATTATTCTGTAACTAGTCTTTTCATAATTGTGTTTAAATTAAAAAAGTATTTTGTAAAAAAATAATTTTGATCAAAATTATTTTTTTGCAAAATCTTTTTTATATTTTTTTAATGAGTAAACAATTTTTTAACTTTAGAAAAATAGATCATAAAAATTAAACTATAATTAGTTAAAAAAGTTTTGACAATTTTTAAATTATAGATTTACAAAAGCAGTATCCTGGAACCACTATTATTACGTCTGAAGATGATAATGGTGTGGAAAAATCGTGGGAGCTTAAGTTTTACCTCACGATACAAAATCCAAATGACATTAAACCTCTCAGCACTATTCTGGAAATAAAAAGTTTGAGCCATATTCTTACATTGGAATTTGAAATAATCAGCGGTGTCAAATATTTTAAACTAAAAAAAAATCCTGACCATGTATTGGATGTTATAGCAGTGAATAAAATGCGAAAAAATACAATGTTTATAAGAATAACAAAAAACGATGGTTTTCAGGTATTCTATATGTTTAACAATTTTTCACGTAAAAGAGTATTAACTCTAAAAGTTGTTTAAGTGTTAAATGAAAAATTTTTTTTTTCAGAATTTAAAAAAGGTGCATTTTTATCTGTTTTCGATTAAAACCATAAACGCGATTATTATTTTGTCAAATTATTAATTAATTATTTATTGTTTAGTTGTTATTTAATTTTTTTACTCAGAGTTTTAATTATTTTATGTTTAATTTCTTTTCTAAGTTTTTTATTAAAATTTTTTATTAAAATTTTTTATTACAATTTATTTTTAAAATTTATTAAAAATAATTAGTCAAATGAAACATAAATTAAAATTTTAAAGAATTTTTAAAAAATTGCAATTATTTTAAATCTAATTTGAAAAAAATTGCAATTTTTTAGTTTATTATCTTTAATTCATAATAACTTTTTCTTTTTATATAAAATCTATTCAGAGCTAAAATTGATAATAATAAAAAAAATTTTTTACTTGTCATTTATTCATTTTTATACAATATTTAGGGCAAAGTTGTACAACTTATTTTAATTGAATAAATTAAGTTTCAGCCTTGATTTACTAACGATTTTTTAGTTCAAAACATGCAATCAATAGCTACTCTTAAGCTTCAATTCAAATACTTTGGAGGCCAAAAACAAAGTTAAAATATAATTATAATTAAACTTATTAATTATTTAAATAAATTTGTAGTATATATGTAAGTTTTTTTTTTCTTTTTGTAATGCTCAATAATTCGAGTCTTTAAATGAAGAGTATATGCTATTGAATTTACATCTTCCGCATTCAAATTTATGAACAAAAGTTAAAGAATAATCTATAAAAAAGAGATTTTAGCTTTTAACATAAATTTTTTGTTTATGGATCCTTCCTTACCTTACTCTAGTAACGGATTTAAGGAGAGGAGGGGGATGTGGGTAAGCATCCACTCACCCCCCACCCACCCCCATTCCCACCCTTCCAATCAGAAACCTAAAGTCCTAAAATATTTTAGAAATTAAGAGCCTTTATTCCGGAGACGCAAATGTGCAAAATACAAAAATTTTCTAAAATCAAAAAAGTGCAAAATCAAAAAAGTGCCACAAAACTTTGAGCATTCAAAGATTTTAAAAAATATTTTACTATGAAATTTAAAATTTATCGATGATTATTTAGTCTAGTTGAAAATAGTACAAAAAATATTTTATCAACTTGTTGCTCTGATGTTTGGGGCAGGGGGACAAAATTTTGGGGTTTTTTTGTTCCCAAGCTCCAACTATCGCAATTTTTGAAAAGCATCCTTTTTTGACATAAGTATAAACATATAAATGTTTAGAGTTTGCTCCATGTCTGGAAGTTAGCTATCGCAAAAACCAAAAAATGCTGGCAGCGCCCCTGCTTTTGAGAATACTTTGTGTTTCTTTTGTGCACCTCTAATAGAGTTTGCGTTAGCAGTTTGGTCACATATTCAAAATGGTGAAACTAATTTATTAGAAAAGATTCAACATCATGCAATTCGATTAATATCATCACTTACGTAAATTAAGTATGAGAATTGTCTAAAAGCTCTCGATACTTACTTCTACCTCTACGTTTTTCTCCTAAAAAAGCTAACTTTCTATATGCTGATACTCAAACCCTTTTAATATTTCTCTGACAAACGTTGTTCAATACAACATTTTTTTTCAACCTCTGTTTAAGATTATAGCTCCATTTTTTGTCTTGTTAGAGTCATACCACACATCCATGTGATAATCATCTTCTTTTTTGGCAAATACTGCGCCATATAAATACTGAAGTTTATACAAATATGTAAAGATATTGAAAACTAACATCAAAATATATAGCAAACATATATGTTTATTTCCATATTATGCATACATAAATGCGCCTCTTACATAATCTTATGGGTTCAAGCAGGTATGGAAGCTTTTACTCCAAACCACGTTTTTCACCTTTTTGTGCATATTTTTGTGTTTACCTTTATTATTTTTTTCTCCTTTTAAGAAGAACAGCTCTATTGAGAATATATGTCTTTTTATTATTGCAAGAAGTTAATGTAAAAAGGTCCTGTCTGACGATAAGCTCAGTTATTCATTTTACTAATTCTTGTATCTAATTCTTGAAGAGTCTGAGTTTTTGGAAATTCTTTAAGAGCGTTATTAACTAAAGTAAATATAACATTGATCAAACAACTTTTGATTATATAACTTTTCCCCAGAATTCTAGGAAGAAATAATATGATCAAGCATATGTGATCAAAAATGATTTTAATGTCTAACTCATTCTTAGACATTCGTATCACTTCTGCTTCCAATCCTAAAGTCAGTTCTCAACTCTAATCTTCTAGTTTTAAAGATAATATTTCTATCATAGTCTTACAAAAGTCCGTTCTCCATAATTCTTTTCAATCCTCTAGAAACTCTAGAAAACACTCTCACTTCTTTAACTATCCTATGATTTGTTTTCTCTCTAGTATTAGTTTAAATTGAGTATAATAAATTTTAATAAAACAAAACATAGGTTTTAAAAAATGATAAAATTAGATCCTAAAGTTTCATTAAGGTTTTACGGATTACTGGTTATTTTAGACTCTTATATAGGAAGATAATATAGGAGTTTGTAACCAAGAATATTTATAACACAGTATTGATCCTCAACATAAAACTAAAAGTCAGACAATTATATTACAATAAACTTTTTTGATAAAAAATTTATTTAAATTTGTTTATAACTAACAAGTTGTGTTAAAAATTCGAGAGTTTTTTATTATTACCTTTGTCCCATTAAAACTGTAACACCTTTAGCACTCCTAATTTTTGTTAATCATGACTGAAATACAAAATAGTCTTAATAATTCATTCACTAAATGTAAACTATGCAGATATCTTTAGTGGTTTCATTGCAAATGCAACAACTGTTTTTAATATTTTGTTGTTTTAACTGGTATAAAATATATTAACAAAGAGTGCTTTATCTTTATTTGAAACTAAGGATACAGTTGGTTGTTATGAGCTATATGGAATGAGAAACAGTATCTATTACAATTTTTTGGTAATACTTCACTTCTCATTTCTGTCAAAATTCTGTAACTGTAAACTTGAACAGCAGAAAGATCATTAAGTAATAGTTCATGAATGTTCAGCTTTGTCCCTTGTACCATGTCCAGATCTAATAAACGATGGGGAACATATTAAAAGTGTGGGCGGAAATTTTTTACAAAACATTAAAAAAAATTATTTCTAGTGTTAATGCAGGTCACTATGTACCTTCGTGTGTTAAAAAATTTTGATTTTTTATGTCACGTGGTATGACGTAATTGGTACCAATAGCAACAACAACAAAATTACCATAATTTTAATTTTGCTTTATTTCAATTAAGTTGATCAGCCAGGTGTTCAAAAAAATATCAAAAAAACCTGTTGAAAATTTCACATAAACCGGAGGTAAACCGGTCATTTGTGATTTCAAATAATTATTAAAATATAGTCTTTATACTGTGATTTTACATTTTCTGCAATTTATAATAATTGATTAAATAACTATTATTACAAATTTTGTATTATGTAAAACAAATTTTAGACAAATTCTTTCTTTTTTAAGCTCTGGATTTTTACAACATATCTATTTTGACAAAATAGAATTTTTCTTAGCTTTACGATTGTATTATTTCCAATGTTATTTTATTTTTGCATAATTTTACCTATAAAAAATGCAACAGCTTGAATGTTTTAATTTTCATTTCGGTTTTTAAAAATTTTTTTATGCTGTAAGAAATCAATATCGACTATAATCAATATTGCTGTTTCAGATATTAAATATTGATAAAAAATGGAGGACAAAGAACAAAAAAGAAGAAAACTTTTTTGATTTTACTAAATACATTGTTTGCTAGGAGGAAGAACGTAAAAAAAAATTATTTATGCTTTTCAAAATTTATATTTTTGGTTAAGATAATTTTTCAAATATCTACATAAAAATAAACATCTTATATTTATTAAAAAAACACAAGTGCATTTTGGGTATGTTCTTTAATAGTTTTTAAAAGAGTCTCCTAGTAATCACTAAAACCATGGTGACCATGAGTCAATAGATTGTTACCAAAAGAAAAAAGTAATACCACGCGAGGAACTAGATGAAAAAAAGTGTTTAAAATTCAAAATGTTACAAAAAGTATAAGTTTGAAAGTATACCCAACGTATAAGTTTGCAATGTTTGATTAAACAACAGTAAATTTATTGCTAGCAATCCTGAAACCAAATCCATAGATGAATCAGAAGAAAAAAAAATTGCTCCGATCAAAATCTCAAGTTTTTAACTTTTTATAATTTGTCAATGTGAAGGCAACTTCAAAAAGTTGAAGGTTTATTATTGGTTGAAGAAAAAAATGTTCAAAGTTTCTTAGTTGCTTAATGATCAAGAATTCTTTCTTAGATTAAACAGTATCTCAAATTCTGATGACTTCGTTGCAAATTATGTCAAATACAAATCAAAGTGTTGAGTAACAGCGCAGAGATCTGTTAAATTGACAACAGCTCAAGGAGAAATTCAAAAATTTGAAGATATTTGGGCGAAGATGTAAAAATCATTAACTTAAACTTAAAAGTTTGATTTTGCTCTGGATATAAACAACATAATAAAACTTACAATAACTTAATTGGAAAAAATGACTCGACTGAGGTGAATTTTAAACGTTATTTAAAGAACCTTCTACAAAATAAAGTGTCAGGAATAATTTTTTCAAGACTTACGTGCCGTAGAAAATCCGAACAATTTTGCGCTAGCAAATGCTAAGCAAAGATGGTAGATACCTTTAAAAACAATCTGGACGATTATACAATAATTTTCGAGGCCGCAAAACTAATTCGGAAACTAATCCTGCAGCAGAAAAATGGAATTTTAACAGAAATTTTACTGATGTTAATATTCCAACGTCCTTATTTTCTTTGCTTATGTGGCGATACTTGGACCAAAACAAAATATTGACTCAAGTTATGTTGAAAAAA